ATATAATAATTAAAAAATTTAAAATTCTATAAAAAAAAAAGAATGAGAAATTATATGCATTCTGAATTAACCATTCTAAAAACTCTCCCTCCAATACATATAGATATAGATATAGATTCTCATGCCTCCATCTATCTAGTAATTTTGTAGACAAACAAAGTTAATTTTAAAAAGTCACAAAACGGTGCTAAGCTGACACCGCAATAGGTAGGCAGTTTGATTGATCCCTCCTCGGTTTACTACTTCCAAACTTAATCTTTGCTTAAAATGAGCAAACTTTGATAGTTTTCTTTTCTTTGCTTACTCGAGTTATATACTTTTTGTCTCACCATGATTGCTTGTAAAAGGGGTTGTACTCATGTTTACGGATGAAGAACATTTTGTAATCATTATAAGAAACTAATCCATTGAGTAGTTTGCATTTGACATGATCGAAATTATTACTAATTAAGAGTCGAAAGTAAATACAACAGAATTTAAACATGAAAGTGTAATATTAAAAAATTGCTAGTATTGTATACTACTGATAATGTAGTGATTTTTTTACACTAACAATTTTAGATGTATATCACACGTGTATGTATATTATATGATACTAATCTAAATCTACTCGTACAAAAAAATAATTTTACATTGACTATATATATAACTTTAGGCCGTGAAGGATATACCAACGCATTTTTATTCCTTTATTACTACCCCGGTGAGAGAGAGAGAGAGATAGAGAGAGAGAGAGAGAGAGGCGGGAATATTTCAAGGATGCAAAGGCAGCGCTTTTAGCTGCTTAATGGAGATTATAACCTTTTCCGGATAAGACTACTGGGCTAATTAAATTAATGTTCTCCTTAAACCCTGATCAATCCCCAGCTACAGAAAACAACAAGGCTCTTAAACCCTCCACTCCCTTTCTTCATCTCCCTCCTCCATCCTTCCGCTCCATAGGAAACCGAAGGAAAGTTGTCCTAATTGTTGATAAGGAAGTGAAGATCATAATTCTTGATCTTGATGACTATTGGAAGAAATTATAAGTGGCAGATTTGTCATCCTTCAGCGTTTTGGTCATAACTGCAGTTAGGTATATCGGATCAAGATAAATTTTATGGACTTTAAACTAAGACATAGACCTACATTTTCTATGAAGACATCAACATCCAGTTCTCGCATTCTCAGGGTCAAAAATTGAAATCTCAGAGAAACAGAAAACTATCGGTTAAACAGGGCATTTGGGCAATCACGGATATTTTAGTCATTTCATAGGCTACAGTGATTCGATTGAGCTGAAAAATTTTGGGTAGAAAGCTAACTCAACTCCCTACAACTTTCATGTTTTGTTCAAAAGCTGATTCAATCTGAAACATGGAGAAATTTGCAGCCCAAATTTCTACTTCATCCAGTAAAAGACAGAACAGGTATGCAATTTCAGTCAAATTTGAAAAATCATAGATATTCATAGGAATTGAGAAAAAGGCTGAAATTTCCACGGTTGATAGTTCTCTGACTCTAGTTTCAAATGCAACAAACAGAACTCAATTCCGACTTTCTACAATAAGATATAGCAGATTTCCTAAGGCTGCCCAAGGGTTCCTGTAGACAAAATTTTCAGCAGCACTTCCTTTGTGTTTACCAATTTATCCAGCCATTTCAAGGCTACACTTTCACCACAAGACAGCCCCAATCAAGTTCACAAGATATAGGATGCATAGAGTACTTATTTTAGCCACAAACTAGCTGTAAGCAACATATACTTAAGCTGAAAATCCTCCACCAAGGCTGAAATTTCACATTTAAAGCTGGAAATCCTATTTTGAAGCTAAAATTTCATACCAAAGCTAGAGTTCTTCATATCTCAACTTTCATGTCCAAATCAAAACTAAAAACTCCCAATTCATGGCTGGAAAATATAAATAAAAGCTGAAAAATTCCAACAACATCACAAATCCATGAAATCAACCATAAAACTTCCATATTCAAGTCATATGCCCACTTAAATGCAAGATTAAAGGGAAAAAGTAGTTCCTTACCAAGATTACCTTCAATTCCTAAAGAGAGTAGCAAACCACAGCTTTCTTCCCTCAAAATCACACCACACCAAGCTTCTTCCTTCCTTGTTGCAACCTTCTACGGATGGATTTAAGGTTTAAGGTTGATTTCCTACTAGTTCTAGCTTGGAATCAAAGTGAAATTGGAGAAGCTTTTCTTTCTTTTCTTGTCTCTAAAGTTCGGCCATCATGGAGGAGAAATGAAAGAAATTATGATCAATTGGAAGATAAAGATGGAAAGAAAGTCTTAGTCAAAGTTGGCTTAAGTGCCAACACTTGGCATCCCTCAACTTGTCTATTTTTTTTTCTTGTTTTATTTCTTTTCCTCTTGTTTCTTGGTAAACAATTTCGGCTAACCTTAGGGGTTAAATTAGAGAGGATTAAATGAAATAAAAACAATGAGATTAGGGTAAGAAAGTATTGGTCAAGTGGTGTTCTCCACCGGTAACAAACGACGCACGTCGGTTCAAGCCTATTTTCCTTAAATCCTGCGTATTAATATTTTAACTTATGATTCACCAACTTATTAATAACACTTCTAATCACACACTTCCCCTTATCTAAAACTCACTTTTAACCACCAAATTTAATACACACACCTCACCAATTAAGCAGACTACCAAAATACACAAAACCCTAATTTACGCTAACTATAAAACTAAAAATGAAACTCTTGATTCTATGATTTATTGCAACTATTAAAGAAGTAAATGAGTAGTAAAGATATTTAAAAGTAATTTATTCAAAATAAAAGAGAATTTTAAGAAAATATGAGCAAATTTTCGAGTCTTCACACCGACCATGGAAAAAAGTTAGTCTAGGCGGTATAACTGCTCATATAGTTTAAGCAATCGGTATAAAACCGACCATTAGGTGGTAGAACAAACCACGTAGGCAGTAGGTTGTCAGAAAAGAAATAAAAGTAAAAAACAAGTTAGATTAGGATTGCTTTAAGATTAAGTGAAAGGGTCCTAAGGATTAGAATCCCTTGTTGTATCAAAATTAGAAGTAAGTTAAGGTGATTATGTTTATACTTCCATGATTTGTCAATGAATAACTTCCAAATATATGTCATTGCTTTTACCAATGAACATTTTTAAGAGAGACATCCTTGGCTAATTCGTAAAAAAATTGGTGAAAAATTGCTTTCACCAATTTTTTTAACTCTTTGAATCACATTTCACCTATTTTCGTAGAGAAAAGAAAGAAATAAATTAAATAAACTTAATGAAGTTATCACATGAATCTGACTAACCATTATTCTCTACCTTCGTGAGAATAAGGCTAGGATCTTAGAACTAAGATCTATATGTAGACAACTTTCATTGTTCATACAATCATCAAATAATTCATAGTTGGTGGCCAAACAACCACAAATAGCAAGTACAAATTCTTAGATATAACAAAATCATGAAATTGCATAATCATTCCAAACTATTTCATATCAAAACAATAGCAAGTTCATCTTTTCCCTAAGATATGAAAACCTTAGCTAAACATCATGTTAAGCGTATCCAAGTATGAATAATACTTTGCAACTAAACACTGAAAATAAGCACAAGAGAAAAGGAGTATAGGAAGAAGAATTCTTATTCAATTTCTTAAAATTGAATCCTTGAACTCCTTTACAAGTTAATCTCTCAAATAAGCAAAGTGCAAGAGTATCCCTTCACTTTCTCTTTTAAACTCTCTCAATAAGCTAGACTAACAACTAGTATTAAAACTATACTAAGCTAAGCTATTGAGTTCTCCTCTTTTCTATTCTCTACTCTACTCTCCACACTTAGTCTTGTGAAGAGTTCTTCTATTTATAGACTAATTTGGATGCAAAAGACAAAGCGTAATCATCATAAATATTTTTCTTGAACCTATAAATTTGTTTTCTTTGAGTTCTAAAGCATCTTTTGTCGCTTTCTCGGATAGTTTTCACCGAAGTTTGATCACAAAAACGTGTCAAAAAGGTTGTTTGAACAAAATACAAGTTGCAAAGCAAGTTAAAATCTGAAATCAGGGATCTGCAACCCTAGATCTGCAAGGTAGGCTTGCGGTTCAGCTCATGGTTCTCCTCTCTTTGTAGGTTTGGCTCTTTTTGCTCAATCTTTAATATTGATCTTTTTTTCCATCAATTTCAACTGCAAATTTCATAGTTGGTGGGTCCTGGTGTAGTGGGATTATTTGGATTGTTACAACCTCTAGCAGATGGTTTGAAATTGATTCTAAAAGAACCTATTTCACCAAGTAGTGCTAATTTCTCCCTTTTAAGAATGGCTCCAGTGACTACATTTATGTTAAGTCTGGTCGCTTGGGCCGTTGTACCTTTTGATTATGGTATGGTATTGTCAGATCCGAACATAGGGCTACTTTATTTGTTTACCATATTTTCGCTAGGTGTTTATGGAATTATTATAGCAGGTTGGTCTAGTAATTAGGGGGCGGCCATTCGGTCACCCATGATACTAGGATCTATAGGTCCAAAATGGGTTTGTGTCGCAAGTGTTGAACGATATACTCTACACAGGTGTGGGCTTACAGGGCTAGAGCTCATAAACCCTTTCTTTCATTCATCAATAGGGCCCTAGTCGGTCACTTTTCTGGGCTGGCGAAGTCATAAAAAAGAGATCTTTCTCTTCGCACCTCAAATCAAGAGGAAGGGTTGCTTGTCAAGCTGGCCTATAATATAATTCAAAAAAAGATATAATATAAATAAAAAGATTCACTTTTAACCGGCTTTTTTTCTTTGTCAACGCTACTAAGGACCTTGTAGGTTTGCCTGCTTGACTTATGAAAGATAATGAGAATGGGTTATTCAAACAAAAAGGAAAAGGCCCTACTTAGGTTTCGCAAGCCTTTGTCATTGTCAGTCAACTAAGTAGGGCCTGAGGCCCCCTTCGAATCCGTAACTTTGAGGAGCATGCCGCAACAAAAGGATGGTCCCTTATGCATTTCATTTTATCCGAAAGGGGAAAAAAAGTACCCCCCATCATAGTGAACCTCTCCTTGTGATCGGGATGAGATAGATGCCTCCCGGCCGGGGGGCGGATCGAATCGGAGTTTCCTTTGGTAACTACCGACCTACAGTTATCCTTAAACTTCCATGCTTGGTGGAGAAGAAGCGAACAAAGGTACGCTCGCTTGCTGTCTTGTTCTCTGTCGCGAACTGGGATTGCTCGCCAGCTAGGTCAGATTGGAGCAAGATTCAAAGAGAATATATTACCCTAATTCGGGGACAAGGGGCGGAACGACCTCTTGATCTACTTACTGCAGCCCAGGAATGAATAAAAACGTCGTCTAGGCCTTCCCTCTTGCTCCGATCTCCCCTACGCCTAGGACGTTGTCTGGGCCAAGAGCCATAGTTAGTTGCTGTTTCCATTTGGTTGTTTCTTGCTCATTGTTGATACCGGCAAGACCCAACCAGATGATGTCTGCTGGTTGGTAGTGAGAGGGCTCTTAGTACCTGCATACCCAAAAGGGGGGCGCTGATTAAAAAACAATCATTTTCTTTTCTTTCTTGCTTTCCCTTAGCAGCGGGAAAGGAGTCTATCTATCTGCCTAGCTTTGGTAGATTTCCTCCAATGCAATCCACAGAAATTCCACGAATCCCTTGGTGGATAAGTCCGACGACTCAGCAGCAGTGCGGAATTTTGTTTCTCGTCTGGTGGATCTGATCTATAGTTAGGGGGCAATACATACCAAAAGGTTTGAAGAAGGAACGCGCATAAGAGTATATAACCAACCCACCCTTCTGCATAACCTATTCACATTAGTGAAGCGGCTGGATGCATAAGGGAAGTGCACCTTTGTGAGATGAGACCTTAGTCGGGATGCATAGGGGAGTCAACCTACGAGCATGGAAGAGCGTGGTACCGCTGCCCCTCTCTAAGTAAAGGTAAGATTCTTAGCCCTGTTGATGACTCCATCTAAAATACAATAGGGACAGCCGGAAACGACTGCTTCTTTCCTATCTTGAGTAGGCTTAAGTTAAGTAATAGGGGTCAGGTCAATAATAATTATGCTATTGCCCTACTGATTTAAGGCCGAAGCCCTAATGTCTAGGCGAATACACACCAATACAGTCATCTTTAATTAGAGGGATCAACCCAGGTTATTCAATAGAAGGTTCGAAAGGACCAGGGGGAGGGGACCGTAGCACGGAGCATATCCGGTATAGCCAGCTACACTACAAAGCAGATATCCTACTCGTTCTTGCATTACGCGCTTTTTCGAACAGAACGCGCACAATGCCTCTTCTTTCTACTTTACGTATACGAAGGCACCCAAAAACCATTATTCTGACTAATTAAATAAACTTAATGAAGTTATCACATGAATCTAACTAACCATTATTCTCTACTTTCGTGAGAATAAGGCTAGGATCTTAGAACTTAGATCTATATGTAGACAACTTTCATTGTTCATACAATCATCAAATAATTCATAGTTGGTGGCCAAACAACCACAAATAGCAAATACAAATTCTTAGATATAACAAAATCATGAAATTGCATAATCATTCCAAACTATTTCATATCAAAACAATAGCAAGTTCATCTTTTCCCTAAGATATGAAAACCTTAGCTAAACATCATGTTAAGCATATCCAAGTATGAATAATACTTTGCAACTAAACACTGAAAATAAGCACAAGAGAAAAAGAGTATAGGAAGAAGAATTCTTATTCAATTTCTTAAAGTTGAATCCTTGAACTCCTTTACAAGTTAATCTCTCAAATAAGCAAAATGCAAGAGTATCCCTTCACTTTCTCTTTTAAACTCTCTCAATAAGCTAGACTAACAACTACTATTAAAACTATACTAAGCTAAGCTATTGAGTTTTCCTCTTTTCTATTCTCTACTCTACTCTCCACACTTAGTCTTGTGAAGAGTTCTTCTATTTATAGACTAATTTGGATGCAAAAGACAAAGCGTAATCATCATAAATATTTTTCTTGAACCTATAAATTTGTTTTCTTTGAGTTCTAAAGCATCTTTTGTCATTTTCTCGGATAGTTTCCACCGAAATTTGATCACAAAAACGTGTCAAAAAGGTTGTTTGAACAAAATACAAGTTGCAAAGCAAGTTAAAATCTGAAATCAGGGATCTGCAACCCTAGATCTGCAAGGTAGGCTTGCGGTTCAGCTCATGGTTCTCCTCTCTTTGCAGGTTTGGCTCTTTTTGCTCAATCTTTAATATTGATCTTTTTTTCCATCAATTTCAACTGCAAATTTCTCGATGATGTAAGCTAAACTAGTTCTTGCACAAAGCATAAAAATTCTAACCCTTTAAGTTAACTTTCCAATGCATCAAAAATCATCACATTTGGATGTCTGTAGTATCGTAATTGGCCAAAGTAGCCTTGACTGGTCAATCCTCTATTTCAACTTTTGATAGCAAATTTTTCCGATCGTTTGTCAGCATTTTGACTAAGTAAACTCTTGAACTAGATTTTGATTGTGCATAAGAATTGCATATCTTTGTCTTAATTCAAAATGGTTTAAAAATTATCTCAATCTAATACATGTAACTCAAGATTTGAGAGAAATATCAGAATGTGTCAGAGCTGTCAAAGTTCCATTTTATTGCAATTGAATGCTTTCCATACTTTGACGATTTTTCACTTCATATACACTCTAAAACACTTCAAATCTTCACAAATCAATTAAAATGACTTCTATTAATCCATGAAATTAATAACCTACAAAAAAAAAAAATCACAAATTTGGACATTAAACCGTATGCAAAAGTACTAATTGTTTCACATGAAAAAGTTGCTTTTACTGAAATTCGATAACTGAAAAAGTGTATTATCCAAAGCAACTAGTAGCTAGAAAATGGCCTTGGGCCATCTTTCGTTTTCTTTTTCTTTTGGTTGGGCCGAAAATTTCCTACGCCTAGCAAAAGTCCAAAAAACAAATACACAGACCAGCCCATCATTTTTTTTGCCAACTCAACCCAACCTAAATACATGAGCTTTCCTCCCAAGCTCATGCCATAACCCAATCAAAGACGCACCACATCTATTTACCAAAACCCAAAGAAAACAACATTAACCCAAGCATTGAATTATTTTATTAAACCCAACAAGACAAAAATCTGCTAAAAATTATTAAGGCTTAATAATGCCTTACAATTCAGAAATAATTTGCCCAAAAACCTAATTAAAATATGAAAAAGAGGATTAAAACTTAAAAGGGCCAAAAATTGGTTCAATTTTCTCAATTTTGGGCCATATTAGAATTATGTGAAAATTAAGGGGTCTAAGTGCAATTTTTAAAATTTTCATGTAGCTTGATTCAAAGCTTCTTCTTCTGCAGCCTTCTTCGGCAACTTTGTTTCCTCAAATATAAGAACCATACGAGGTAACTACCGAGCCAACAAGATTGTGTAACTCATGTATTTTGTTTCCATAGACCAACGCCAAAGATTCACAAACAGAAAAGGGAATATTCAACAAGAAAATCATCTAAAAACAAGTATGGCAAAGAGATGGGCAAACTCATCAAACCAGCAACAAAATTCGAGAGTTCATGTCCGATGAGCTCTAATCTTTGCAAAAAAATGTGTTAAATCGACATGGATAGGAGCCATAATTACATGGGAGTGTTTGTGGGGTTAGATAAACGTGAAATGTTCCCTAGAAGGCGCGCTGATTCGTAGAATGAAGTCAAGAAAATTTTCGTCGCAGTGGGGTGCAGTACTGACGAACTCGCGTCTTGGAGCTTCAATTTATCTTTCTTGGAGGCATTTTCCCTTAATTGTTTCTGAACAAAAATGGTTCTAATACATCCCAATAAAGTGCAAAAGTAAAGAAATCCTCCTAAAAGCTCGAGATTTGCTCGAAATGTGATGAAGAAAGGGGCTGATTGCTCAGCCTGTTTTTCCCAAGAATTTTTCTGCAAAATTTTTTTTTCTTTCTCTCTCTAATTTTTCTTTCCTTTCATTTTTTCTTTGCTTTTTATTGCTCCGCCGCCACTCCCTTTTTTCTTCTCTAATGGTTCTATTTTGGTTCTATTTATACCAAACGAAGGCTCCCAAACCATCACCTCAAAGGTGAGGATGAAACCCAGCTATTGCTGCCATCTTTTGAGCCATTACATGACTTTAACTCTGGAACTTTCCTGATAATTCTGATGGTAAGGTGGCAAAAGGTTTTTAGGAAAAAGGAAAATCAAGAAAAACAGAGTGAAAATGGAATGGGAATGGCAGTTGCAATCTAGTACTAGAGCTCGTTCATGGCTTCTATACAAAGGAAGTGATGAATAACGCGAGTGCACTGCGCTCTTCTTTTTTTTTATGAAAACTAATTTGATTTCCTGGTTTTTTTTTGTCTTTTCTTTTCTTTTCTTTGCAATTTTTCTAAAAATGATTTGAAATGATCTTTCTTAAAAAGTAAAAATATCATGAAATGAAATGAATAAATAGATAAGTAAATAATAAAAATAATAAAATAAAATTTTGAAATAAGGATAAATGCAAATTTTAGTGTCCACAAACTGGAGAAATGTCATTCTAAGCATTTTTCCATCAAATCGTTGAGAATAAGAAGCAATGAAGATTTGAAACACAACAACAGTTTGTACAAGGTGTCAAGATTAAAACCTACAAAATTATGTTGCAAGATTCCAATATTAAGTTGGTAAAAAGACAAAGCAAACTAGGAAAACAGAAATAATGATGCGATAACATTGCATTAAAATTGCAATAGGCATCATAGTAAGACTTACATTTAGTTTTAAAAACATATACACCAGTTATAATAATTGGAGAAAACTTGAAATTGCACTTTGTTTAACACAATGTACTTTCTTAACCACACAGGCGAGCAAAGTTGAATGTAACTTTAATCAAGTTCAAAACTTTACAGTCTACTAAATCAAGCAGTCGAGCAAATAATGGAAATCAACAACATGCAAAATTTCTCAACAATCTGTAAAAAAAGAAATTGCAAGCAAGCGGATAGAAAATTTATTTACCTGATAACAAAAAAAAGCCCTTCGTACCAACTCCTGTGCTCGTGTCTTTGCAAATACCTAATTTCAATTTGAAATTTCAAAGGTTAAACAACACAAGAGCATGAGTTAGCATGATATTCATAAAAACCTAGCTGCTTAAAGAAAACTTCAATTACAACTAAGTTTCACGGATTAACATTAAAAGAAATTTAGAAAAAAAGGAAAAATAAGGGACACTACAATAAAAAAGGGATTTGGCAAGGAACCAAAGTCCTTGCCAAAAGGCTAACTTTCTCACCAATTAGTTTCAGCGAGGAAAGTGCTTCCTTGCCAATTTTCTCGCTAGATGATCATTGCTAAAAGTCATTGGCGATAATGCTATTGTCTTTCTAACTAATGGGACTGATCAATAGCGAGGACAGACCCTCCTCACTAATAGCTTTGATACTATGGCAAGAAAAACTTTCTCTTCATTGAAGTCAGAAAGTCCCCACAAAAACTAGCGTTCCTTGTAAATTGTGATGACCCCACATCTCCTTAGAGTAAACCATAGGGTTTTGGCGAGCCGCCTGCCTAACCCTCGTTAGAACTCACTACGAGCCAAGTTTATAACTTAGAACTATCCAACCAACACGTCACTAATATATAGAAGAAGTCACTTCCTTCAAAATGTCATTCATTAACTACACCATAATATTCCAAAAATATATCAAGCGTCCCAAATTACAACTATCAAAAAATCACTTAAATTATTTATATCCATGGCTATACCAAAATATAGTCAAGGCTAGAGGTGCTATCGAGCATACTTCAGCTCGAGCTCGATCAAAATTTGTGCTACTCGAGCTTGACTCGATGAAATAAAACTAAATTCGAGCTCGACTCGTTTGGGCTCGAGTAAATATCAAACCCAAGCTACTCGAGCTCGAGCTCGAGTTTTGAAATAAATCTATAATTTTTTTTTAAAAATATATAATATAAATATATAATATAAATAAAATATGAAAACTCGATTAAGCTCGGCGAGCACGCGAGTACTTATTTCTTGAGCTCGAAGTCGACTCGTTAAATTTAACGAGTAGCTCGAGCTCGATTTTACTGAGCTCGAGTCAAGCGTTTGATCATGCATTTGACATTTGATACACTTTCTGACAAAATTTGCACAGTCATGCCTCATAGTAAGCCAAAAATACCCTGATCTCATGATCTTCTTAGTCAGTAGATGCCCATTCATGTGTGGCTCACAAACTCCACTGTGCACTTCCTTCATCAAATAATTGGCTTCCTCTTCATTAATGCATCTCGGAAGGCTCAAAAAGGATGTTTTCTTATATAACACTTCTCCATTTAAAAAAAATCTTGATGACATTCTGCATAAAAAACATTTTACAACATAATCAGCATCAGAAAGGTAGGATCCCGTTTTCATGAATTTCTTAATATCATTGTACCAGGGGCGAACATCAGACAGTGCGCTGGCCTATCCTGAAGTTGAATTTGTATAGGTTCAATCACTAGCTCATCTGGATGTTGGATCATCGAAGACAGAGTAGCTAAAGCATCAGCAAAGGCATTATGAGTGCGAAGAATATGTCTGAGTTCCAAATTCCTGAATTTACTGGCCAAACTAAGCAAACTACAATGATACAACATAATTTTTGAATCCCGAGTCACCCACTGCTTAAGCGTCTGGTGCACAAGTAAATCGGAATCACTAAATGCTATTAGGTTCTTGATCTCCATGCCAATGCCATTTTCAATCCAAAAATACAAGCTTTATACTCGGCCATGTTGTTGGTACAAGGAAACCGTAATTTGGCAGTAGCAGGATAGTGTTTCCCTGGCGACACTAAAACTGCTCCAATTCCAACTCCAAAAGAATTTGACGCACCATTGAAAAATAATCTCCATCCAAGATACTGCTCACTCATGTCCTCAACTGCTCCAATGAACATAATTTCTTCATCAGGAAAGTAGGTATGCAATGGCTGGTAATCATCCTCTCTTGAATTTTCTGTCAAATGATCTGCTATGGTTTGGTCATTGACTGCTTTTTGTGTTGTGAAGACAATGTCAAATTCAAAAAGGATCATTTACCACTTAGCCATACGTCCTGTGGGTATCGACTTTTCCAACAGGTATTTTAGAGGATCAAAACGAGAAATCAGGTACGTGGTATAACCAAGCAAATAATGTCTCAACTTCTAAGCTGTTTATGCTAAAGCACAACAACTTCTCTCAAAGAAAGAATAGTAGTTGGTAAGTAACTTGGCAAGTAACTGTTATTTCCCGGTTGAGCTCTCAGAGTCTAGTCGGATGCCACAAACGGCACTCGATTTCAACTCCCAGACAGAAAGTTATGACCTAAAACGTGAACACTGGTTGGGATTTCCTGATCAGAAAATTTCCAAAATTCAACCTCACTTTAACCCTATTTAAACACAACTAAATGGAAAGCTTTTTTGGAAGGTAATTCATACACATAACCACCAACATGTATCAAGCATTATTGCACCAAACTAACATCAAAATTTTGAAATTAACAAGAGAGGAACAACCAGAAATTTTCGGCCAGCATACAACTTGATGTGAAAATCAATGTTGATGTGAAAACTCTCTAATTGAAACGAGCAAACAAAGAAAATGAAAACATAGGCCAATGGAAGTTCTAGCATAAACTCTTAATCAAACTTGTAAATGGGAGAAAGAACTTCACCGAGGCTTTATGGTGGCATGATTAATCAATTATGGTGACTAATGGTGATTTCCGGAGATAGCAGTGGTGTTGGCCTAAGCCACCAGCGATTTCCTTCTCTTCCTCCTCTGACTTTGTCTTTTCCCTTTTCTTATTTTATTTTTTTTCTGTTTGGTTTTGGGAGAGTAGGAGTGGAGGGGGGAAAGCCAAGAGAGAGAAAAAAAGCCATCTACACATCCATTTGCTCAATCTCTAAGTCAAGGTTTGCTTCTAACCTAACACAGTTTGAATTGAAGACATTTTAACTACGGGCGAAAAAATTTCTTCAAAATCAACTCGCTTCTTTTGATTGAAACCTTAAACAATAAATCTTGTTTTATATCTTGGTGTTGAAGAACCCTCTTCCTGCTTCAGTCTGTAAATCCACCTATTCTTCAAAACCCTTTTACTCTTTGGTAATTTTACCAACTCAAATGTTTGATTATCATACAAGGATTCTCATCCTCCATAGCATGCAACCACTACTGCTTATTTGCATTCTCCATAACTTCTTCAAAGTATTCAGGCTCTCCCCCATCAGTTAGGAGCACATACTCATTTGAAGAATATCTAGTAGATTGTTGTCTAACTCTTATAGACCTTCTGAGTGGAGTTTCTTGTGGATCTACCATAGAATGACTGAGTTGATCATCATCATTTGTAGAATTATGTGTATCACCATCATGCTGGTCATCAGCAACATCATCATGCTGCATATCAACTCTTCTATCAGCTCTTGTAGGCAACTGTGATATAGAAACTAACTCAAAACCTGTGAGGTCATCATGGATATGAGAGTCTGTCTTCCCAATATCATCGAGGGTTTGGTTTTCAAGAAACACAACATCACGGCTTCTCACAAGTTTCTTCGCAACTAGATCATACAGTCTGTAACCAAACTCATCTTAGCCATAACCAACAAAGATGCATGGTCTACTTTTTGTATCTAACTTTGACCTCTTATCTTTTGGAACATGAATATAAACTTTGCAATCAAAAACTCTCAAATGATCATATGAGGTGTTTTTACCAGTCCAAATAATTTTTGGAGCATCACCCTGCAAAGCAACAGTAGGAGTTAGATTCATAACATAAGCAATAGTATACAAAGCCTCACCCCAAAAGGACTTTGGCAGTTTCAACTTGCAAGTAGGCATCTAACTCTCTCTATCAATGTTCTATTCATTCTCTCGGCCAAACCATTCAGTTGAGGCGTATTTGGAAGCATCTTCTGCTGTCTAATTCCCTGTTGCTTACAATATTCTTCAAATGGTCCTTGATACTCACCCCTATTATCTGTCTAGATGCATTTCAACTTTTTTCCAGTTTGCCTTTCGACCAAAGCTTGAAACTCTTTAAACTTACCAAGCATTTGATCTTTTGTTTTCAAGGTATAACCCATAGTTTCCTGGAATGATCATCAATAAAAGTAATACAGTAAGATGCACCCGAAAAGTTTGTACTTTTAAAGGGCCAAAAACATATGAATGCACCAAATCTAGCAAATTGCGCATTCGGCGAGGAGGATAAGTTTTGAAAGATACTCGATGTTGTTTTCCTACAAGACAATGAGGACACTTCTCCAAGCTTGCATTCTTCACACCCGGAAAAGCATTCTTCTTCACCAAAGTCTCAAGTCCCTTTGCACTAATGCTTCTCCACCAAATTCACAGCGTTTCTCGAAATTGAAGCTTGCAACAAATATTAATTTATCTTCAATTTCGTAACTCAAGTTATAACTAGGGACCTTTTACTAAGCAACCATTTACCATCATCAAAATTATTACCAAAGCCATCATCATCAAGTTTTCCAATAGAAATCAGGTTCAAGCAAATAGCTGGAATATGCCTGACATCCTTGAGTAGTAATGTAGAGTCACTTGTAGACACCAAATTTTTCTTAATTTCAAGTGTGCTATTTTTCATTTAAATTGCTTGAATGATTATTTTAATTTTTTTTGTAGGTTTGTGAAAAAAAGAAAATATTTTTTTGTGGTTTCATACGCGCCTGCAGTGCACGCATGCGATTTCTCTTTCTTCATGCAATGAACCAGCAATAATAAATTTTTAGACAGATTTTTTGAATGAATTTTTCCTCCTTTTCTTTCTCTCCAAGTTTTGGATAGTATAAAGACAACTCATCATCCAAATTCTATCCTTTAACACCTACAAAAAATGAATCAAAAGGAGGGGAATGGGACACATAATCCTATTTTATCCTAATCATCAATTTTAGATTTTTGTCCTAACACACTTACCAAGAAGGAAAAAAAGAGACCACTTTTTCCTTCCTCTCTGAACTCTCAGTCTGGCTCCTAGAAAAAAAAAATCACACACTAAAACTCCCTCTCTTTCTCCCTTTCGGATAGACCACACACAAAAAAAAAACACAGTGGCACAACAAATTTGAATCTGTTATGCAATAGCAAGGCTACAAGAAAACCACTTTTGATCATTGTGTGTTTGTACAAAGGTTCTCACATAATAATTTTATTATTTTGCTGTTCTATGTTGATGATATGCTCATTGTTGGTCAAAGTGCTTCTAGAATTGCTAAATTGAAACAGGAGTTGAACAAGTCTTTTGCTATGAAAGACTTAGGACCGGTAAAGCAAATTCTTGGTGTAAGAATTATGCGAGACGGGGAAGTAAGGAAACATTGGTAATCACAGGAAAAGTACATTGAAAAGGTACTTCAAAGGTTTCAAATGGAGAAGGCTAAACCTGTTAGCACTCCTCTTGCAACGCATATGAAGTTGAGCATCTCACAATGTCCCTCTACTGAAGAAGAAAAGGAATATATGAGAAAGGTTCCTTATTCATCTGTGGATGATAGTCTCATGTATGCAATGGTGTGTATGAGGCCTGATATAGTTCATGCAGTCAGTACCATGAGCCGATTTCTCTCAAAACTTGGAAGAGAACATTGGAATACCTTGAAGTGGATTTTGAGATATCTCCGTGGTACTTCAGATTTGAAACTTTGCTTTGGAAGTGAGAAGTTAGTCTTCACTAGTTATACTGATGCTGATATGGCTGAAGATGTTGATACAAGGAAGTCTACTTCGGGTTACTTGATTACTTTTACAAGAGGAACAGTTTCTTGGCAATATAGGTTGCAAAAGTGTGTTGCATTATCAACCACTGAAGCCGAATTTGTTGCAACTACTAAAGCATGCAAGGAGTTGCTGTGGTTGAAAAAGTTTCTAAGGGAACTTGGTTGCTCTCAAGAGAGGTATAGGTTGCTTTGTGACAGTCAAAGTGCAATTCATCTTGGAAAGCATCCAACTTTTCATTCCAAATCTAAATATATTAATGTGAGATATCATTGGTTACGTTATGTGTTGGATGAGAAGTTGATTGAACTTGAAAAGGTACATACGGATGACAATGGTGTTGATATGATGACCAAATCACTGCTAAGATGGAAGTTTGAAGTATGTTGCTCACTTGCCAGGATGGCAAGTTCTTCCACATAGTCGGGAGGGGAGAGATTTGTTGGGTTTTTGGGCACCCAACTTATATGGAAAAGTCCAAAATTAATGGGTAATTGTCTAGGCCCATTAATGAGTTGCCCTACCTATTTATAGGTCAAATTAGGTTTATTCCAAAAGCAGAAAAGTGGGAAAAACACAGAAAATTCTGGAGAGAAATTTCAACAAGTTTTTGATTTGACATAGCAAACGATGTCTGATCGGCCTGAAATTTTAACTGAAGGTAAAGGACATCAATTCTACATTCTGAATGGTGGAGATCGGATTTCAATGGTTCAATCTTTAGTTACAAATTTCGGACTGCTGCTGTTTTCTAGTGAAGTTTTTCACAGTTTTGTTCTTTATTTGGGATTTGGTGATTTTGTTGATTGTTCAAGGCCATATCTCAATTGTGTACTTGTTGAAAGTTGTACTCTACTTTTAATTGGTGATAGTGGAGTAATTTGTGGTGGGTTCAAGAGACTCTTGGTTTTTCCTCTTCACTTTGGAAAGGTTTTCCACATAAAAATTCTCGTGTTCTCTTGTGGTTGTTTCTTTTGTGTTCGTGGGTGAATTTATCTTCTGTTAGTTGCTGATTTTTTGTCTTGCTTAACGCTCCTAATCTGTTCTAACAAATTGGGGAGGTTTTCACCGCGTGTTATGGTTATTCGAAACCCAGTACCTCCCAACACTTTTGATAAAAAATAAATTCATTAACGAATTGTAGAAAATCGTTATGTAGTACCTCGACGTGATATAAGGGTGCGAAGGGGTTCAAGAATCAGTTTTCTTTTTTTAAGGGCTAAAATCACTTATTTTGGCTATTTAACCCATATTGTAGGGTGGCTCTAGAAAGATATGAAAGATCTCCCTCCAAGTCGTACAT